TTTGATTAAGAATTAAAAACCAAGATGGCTAGCAAGATAGTAAATCATCCTTTTCGTGTCATTATGTTCATATGTTGGCAATATTCTTATTTTCTGAGTGTAAGTTGAGCTTAGGGGGAATTGTTATTTACTTGTGATGCTTTTCATTCTTGGAAGTTTGATTTATTTCAGTGATCTTGTCAACAAGTCTTTACTTCAGTAGGGGTTAATGATTGATGATTTTGTAAACTATCTATCATGGTTTTCTTCTTGTCAGAAAAAATTAAAAAAAGAAGAAGAAAATCTGCCATGGTTTTCTGCTGTAATGTAATCATATGTTTAACATTCGATAATCTGGGCTCTCAATATTTACTTTTAGATGCTAGTCCAATGGATGATTATATAAAGGCTACTTCATACGTAGTTCTTGTGTGTTGGTCTATTAATTATTGAAAAGATCACAACCATTTTGTTTTGGTAATTATGATCACAGGATGGCTAACTGCACTTACAATTATTCGCTTGGTTTTCAAATACAATACTGGAATCACTATTCAAAGCAATTTACCAGCTAGAAACAATTTCACATCCTTACAAATACATCCACTAGGGATTTAAGGGGACAGCTTCCCAATTTATTGCCATCTTGTATAACTGTAGCTTACATTAGCTTTTATTCAAACAGGTGGAACCCGCAACTCTTGTTCCTCTAGCGAGTGGATGCAAACAAGTTTTTTTGGTATACTTCTGATGCTAATTCTCTCCGTTCTTATGATTCTCCATTTAGTCATCCATCTTATCTTACCATACCTTTTTTTTAAAAAAAAATTATTCCTAAGTATGTCCGTTTGTTATTGTATGGAGACCTCATTTATGAATGCCATTCTTTGGTAATGTCATAATGAGATGGTTTGAATGGTTGATGGTCCTTTATCTCCTAATGATTTTTAGTTTTGCAATGAAATTTTATGAAAAATACACAATTGTCTTAGATTGCTGAAATGGTGGCATCTAATTTTTCATTGACTATAAACTTTTCACTTTATTGTTTGGATGCACATATTGTCAACCTATTGGTAAAAATGGAATGTGATTATGGCAATGCCATTAAGATGGCTCTGGGCTTTTGATTCTTATTAGAATATTGGCTAGGTAGTGGAACTGGTGCTTGATAATGGTGGCTATTCTTTTGGACATTGTGCTGTTGTAATGGTATATTGTTACATGAAATTCTTGGACATGTCTGAAATTTAAACTTGAAATATGAACTCCATAATATCTAGTTTGCTTACGTTATTTTAACCAATTAAAAAATATTAAGGTATAAAACATATGAATTCAACCCTGACCAAATGTTAGATTGTAATCCAAATTGCATGTGGGTGCATACATGTAACCACGCCATTGCTCATTGGTATTTATCGGGGCAATTTTCATGCCAAATTGCTCATTGTCCTTTTTCTCTAGATTGGTGATCCAGTTCAACTGCCTGCTACTGTGATTTCTCCCATTGCCGAGAAATTTGGGTAACACACATTATCTTGTAATAATGACATTGCATATTACTCTTATAATGTGAAAGAATCTGCCTTTAGTTCTCACTCTCTCTTGTTTTCTAAACCTGAAGCTATGGAACAAGTTTGTTCAAGAGATTTCAAAGGGCTGGTTACCCAGTTAACATGCTGAAGACCCAGTATCGAATGCATCCTGAGGTGAGATCCTAAATATCTAATCAAAGCAAAATTTAGATTGCTATCACCTAATAACAATCAAAATAATGATGATATCCAAACATATTATGTCAGCTTGGCACCCCGTTTGAGTGACTGGACACTCTTTGGTGGGTAATTAGTTTTTCTTGGTGAACGAGATCCATGATGGAATAGCTAGACTAAGCATCCACTTTTGGTTTGTACATACAGATTAGAAGCTTTCCTTCGAAGGAGTTCTACAATGAGGTACTAGAGGATGGATCTGATATTCAAAATCAGACAAATCGTGGCTGGCACAAATTTCGATGTTTCGGACCATTTTGCTTTTTTGATATACATGAAGGAAAAGAGTCACAGCCATCAGGAAGTGGCTCTTGGGTAAATGAGGATGAGGTTGAGTTTGCCCTCATCATGTATCATAAATTTATAACCATGTTTCAGGAGCTTAAATCAAGCTCTCAGCTAGCAATTATAAGCCCCTACGGACATCAAGTAAAGCTTTTTCAAGAGCGATTTCGGGATACTTTTGGGGTGGAATCCAAAAAAGTTGTTGATATTGGTACAGTTGATGGTTTCCAGGTAATGAGTCTCCTTTCTTATTTATATTTGAATTCCTTAAGGTATTGTAAAGTGACATTTTGATAAAGTTTAGCAACATCTGGGAAATTGTTCAATGGCACAGTTCCACTATTTGGTTCTTCTCATATTTTCTCAGGAGGAGCAATGATATCTGTTATGTTAAAAAGCTTGGGAAAATATTTAAAAGAAAGATAGTTGCTAAAAATTACTAGTGTGTATTTATGCATGACTTGTTGGTGTTATATTGCTTTTTAGAATTGAACAAAAGCCAGGGCTATGGCACATAGTTGAAGGTTTTTTCGTCTTCACTGGAGGACAGACATTTCACTGAAACTATCTTTTGACAATTCTAAACTTAACAATCGAGAGCATTAAATTCTGTTTGATTGAGTTTTGGAATCTTTTCAGGATTGTTAAATGGCAGTGCTGTTTAATGTTAAATTTCTCTGGTTAATATCTAGCATAATTAATAGATTTGAATCTGAGAAAATGAGATCTCTTTTTTCTTTCTTTCAGGGACGTGAAAAGGACGTTGTAATATTTTCTTGTGTTAGGGCAAATAAAAACAGAGGCATCGGCTTTGTGTCTGATTTTCGGCGAATGAACGTTGGAATTACCAGAGCAAAGTCTTCTATACTGGTACTATAATATGTTAAGATTAAATTGCTCCAGCTTGAATATGATGATTATGCACCTTACATAGTCTCTTTGTTTTCCTTTAGGTAATAGGTTCTGCCTTAACCTTGAGGAGTGATGAACACTGGAAAAACTTAATAGAAAGTGCTCAGAAGCGAGGATGTTTCTTTAAGGTAGTCTTCTCTCGACAATTGCTGGGAAGTTCTTATTAGCAATCTCTCGATAAAGTTTTGAGCCCAATTTTTTTGCTAAGGATCAATGTAGTGTTTCAAATGTCTAAAATTTTCAAAAAATGTATAAATAGCTTTTCAAACTATTTACAAATTACAAGTTTCTCAAAGATTTCAAATCATATCACAACCTAAAATATGTATGGTCCTTATTAATACCTCAATCTCTTTTTCATTACAAATTGTTTGGAATCAAATCCTAATTTTAAAACTAACCTTTTCAGTGGACTTCCTGCATAAATTCGAAATTAACAGAATTCCTCCTGCAGGTCTCCAAGCCGTTTGCTTCATTTTTCAGCAATGAAAATTTGGAGTCTATGATGGTGAAGGATGCGGATGCACGAGTGCCAGAGAGGATTGGTGCTAATGATAATGAAAATAATGCACCAGAGAACAATGCTGAGGATGCTGACCAAGGGCCACCAGATGACCATGACTATGGGGATGAGGATGTAGAAATGTATGAAGGAGGCTTTGAGGAGGACTAGCTTCCCAGTCTGCGGTTGAGTGCACATTCACACAACATCAGGCGCTTAAATTTTTGTTGCTTTAGTTCATTAAAAAACACACAAAAAAAAAAAAAAAAAAAAAAAAGGAAGGTCGCTCTTGGTAAAAGTCATTGCTAATTGAGATTTGGAATTTGTGTAACTGAAGAGGAAAAGAATTAATCTATAACCGCGTGGAGGTGAGGCTAGCCATTGTAAATTTATCTATAGGATGTAATGTATTGAACTATTGACTGCAACAATGAGGTTGGAAACAAAAAAGGAAAATAATTGGTACACTTTCGGTTTAACACATTTTTTGACATATTTTTAATTTAATTATTAAAAATATAATATAAATATAATCAATTCAATTAGTTCTTATATTTTGTGTGTATAATTATATCATTAAATTTATTTGTCTTTAATTTTAAATTAAAAAATAATAATTTTTTAATAAATGTGTTACGCAGTATGTTGAACTAGAGTGTATACCAATTATTATCTAACAAAAAATGATAAATAGCCTTAGGCCTTTTCCGTTTCAAGTGACTGAACCGTGGTAAATTTATCTAATTGCCATTGTAAATTGGTTTTCCATTAGAAGTTTAGGGCTTATTTTGATGCCCTTAAAACGAAATCAATTTTTAAACGAGAAAAATTTTCCTTAATTGCTTCTTCATTTGAAGGCGTGGGAATTGTAAGACATGTATGTTTGGTCTATGGCTTGTTGGAAAGGTCTCTAGGCCAAAATCACAAGCTTGGCAAACAGAACTCCGTGGAGCTTCTAAACAACGAAATGCAGCGCATCAATGTTGGTTGAAAAGGAAGATTCGAGAAAAATCAGTTGATTTGGAGGTTAAAATCAGTAAAAGAGGATAATCAGATGGAGAAATTCGTAGAATCAAGAGTCGATAACAAAATTATTTTAGGATCATCTCACCGAAGTAAACTCTAATAATGATTAGTACTCCACAGTCCACCCTTCCAAATTGTTATATCTATGCCCTTCCTCTATTTTGTCCCTTTTTTTTTAATCCTAAAAGAGAATGTATACG